CTGCTGAACTGTTTTATAGCGTCAGAATGTCAGAGAGGTTTGCCAAATTTTCCTTGCTGTATGAGGAGTATATTGAAGGGAGCAAAAATGTAAATTAAGGAAGGTAGAAACTGGTAGAAGTAAAAGGAAAAGCAAGCATGAGAAGCTACGGGAAGGTGCATCACTATTGACTGTGGGATGGGAAGAATCAGAATGGATGAATGAAATACTCAATATATGAAGAATATGAGGGATATCGAATAGTTCCTTGCCCAATAAGAGAACAGGGGATCTGTTTGTCTCCATTATCAGCCATTACATTTGGAACAAATAAGTAGAAGTGTGTCTTCCTGCGACATATAGTCCTTCCATGCAACTCATGTTGCAATTACTGAGCAAATCTGTATTTCTGGATATTTCTTACAGCTCTTTATGAGCTTTTTGTAGTTATGCAAGATAAAATAATAGTAATACGTTCTTATGGCTTCAAACACAAGATCTTCTGTAAGGTTTGAGAAGGACTCTTTTGCTCTTACGTGCAGCATTATAGGGGGAGCTAGTGCATGATTGTGTGCTGCAGAGTTAAGGATTGCCTTCCAGAAGAGCACTGCCAACAACAAGAAGCTGACTTGACAGAACTAGTAGGTCAAACCTATGTTCCTAGGATGAAATGGGTGAGTTGCAACTGTTACAACCGTTCTATCAGAGGCTGCACAGAGTGGCTGGCTGAAGTCTGAATGAAGATTGTTTCAGATCAAATAAATATCCTGTAGGATTTTCATGTTGGCATCGTTGCTGAAACTGCAGCTCAGATGCTCTTCTTATTAAAACGAACACCAGAGAGATTATTAAGCTTATGAATGAAGCAAACAAATGTTGAAGGTACTCCTAAAGTTGCATCATCGAGGTGGGTAAGGAGGGGATTAGGTGTTTCTTCTGGAAGATTTTTAAGTAAAACTCCTGGATCTGAACTCCTCTCATGTGGGTGAGTAATTCTGTAACTGCAGAGTTAACATTGGCTGCAGATCTCCTGGGAAGATTTCTGAATAAAAGAAAAAGGAGGTAAACATCAGGTTTGAGTGGTGATGTTTGAAAACTCTTTTATTTTATAGAACTTTCAGTGGCTAATGCACCAAAAGGTCATAAATTATTTTGCGTTGTAATGCCTAAAACATTGTGGGATTCTTAAGAAAACTTTTCTTGACATTGTTTAATTCTGTAATTAGGTGCAGAAACAGAGAATTGTTTATGAAATGCAGAAATGTATTTTGAGTTATGCTCAAAATGCTGAAAAGGTATTATTAAGACTAATATGCTGCCTCGTGAGTATGGTTGAACTGTAGAAGTGACTCAATTTTCTGTAATAGCAGTAAGAGGATAATAGATTGTATTGCCATTTAAAGCTTTACCTAGAACATTCTGCACATTTTTCAAGAATCTATAATATTTTTATCATTTTTCATGTCTGATGGTAAAAGGTTAGAGCAACGAGGTGAACAGTTTTGTCGGTGAGAAGCCTACTGGAGGAATTTCAAAAATCTAGAACACAGCTTGGTTTTTACTTCCGTGACAGTACAGGAAAATGTGAAAAGCCTCCCATGCAGATTGGTAGCATTTCAGGTCCACTTCTCAGCTACATGCTGGAATATAATTCATTTGATTGTGAGAATTCAGTAATAAATAGAAGTGACCTCA